ATCAGCTTCTACTTATTTGGCCACACCACATCCAAGGGCAGTTGAAACCAATTTCCCATGGGAGCAAAAAAAATTGGTGATTCAGAAGCTCCCAGTATCGTTCACTTTTCACAAGTTGCAGTTGTCTCCTGGGGATTTGATGTACGGAAACATGGCTTTTGGGCTTCCACTGATGTAGGTGCCATGTGTAGCTTCCTGCACTTGCTACCTCATCGCTTCGTGCGTGTAGTTTGGGCTGCTCACTGTTGCACAAGGTTTATTCATAGCTTCTCATGATGCTTGTATACAGAGCATCAGTGTGTATTCTCTGCCGCAGCAGATGGTTTCCGCTTTCCATGCCTTCCGCGTGGGGCAGATGCTGCAAAATCAGATTTCCCTTGGGCTTAACCTTTGATTGGCATCTCTGTGCCAGTTGCCATTTTGTAACCGGTCCCGGAAGCGGCTTTGGACTGTCTTGTATGTCGTGTATGTCCGATGGCTGGACTAACGCGGCTTGTTGGAGTATGCTGGATGTGCGATGAGTTATTAGGGCTGTTAGTCATGCTGTAAAGCATGTGGCAACACAACAGCACTGCTTGAATCAGCCAGGATGCTTGATCTTGCAATGGAAATTTGCTGAAAGGTGCAGTTCCCTGGTGTTAATCCAGCTCAAATGAAGCTCTCTCAAAGAGTAGCGGTCCTGCTGTTTGTTACTGTTCTTGTTCTTGCATTCAAGCTCAAGCAAACACCAAGTTTTTTTGTATTGATCCGACTTATTACTCAGCTACGTGAGCACAGGGAAGTGGTGGGACGGGTGAGGGTGGAGTGAGGATGGAACAGTCCCTCTTGGTGGCAGCCCACAGGAGCAGTGAGAGATTTCGCATCTTGGGAAACCCAAGGCCAGAGTTGTGTGGCTGCTCAGGAGCGTGGTGGAAACAAAGTCTGAGTTTTCAGCTTTGATGTCTGCATTTGCTCTCGTTGCAGCCGCAATGCTTTAATCTCCAAAATGCTACGCTAGATTTTTGCTGTGCTCAGCTTGAATTTTTTCCAAGACATCGCACTGCTGAAACAGCAGAATTTGCCTGTGGATTCCAGTGCAGCGATCAGTCTGTGTTTATTGGGGTGATAAACTTTCCACGAGAGCGAGGGTGGAGCGGGGGCCTTTTACATGTAGTCAAGCCAAATCACTCAGCAGCAAGACCAAAGCTGTTAAGCAAATTCAGATGATTTCTGCTTGCAGCAGCCTCTGCTATATTCGGCTGCCTTTTCTCTAAAGAAGAACCCGCACGTGTCATGCCTGGGTTTTCTTCCATTAATGTGGTGTTTTTGTTTAATGCCATGGAGAAATTCCTTGTTCAGATGTGATTTCATACATTAATTGCATTAAACTGATCGTGGTTTGTATTTCAAGTGTTGAATTGTACTTTTGAATCCTCAAGATGGGACCTCTGCTCTGCCTGTGGCTTTTCATCTTGCACTCTTTGAATCCAGAACTGCTCATCTAGGACAGGCTGCTTCACAGCACTGTGGCTTTCTTTGACCTTTTCAGTCCTCTGCCCACACAATTGCCTGCCATTAAAAACCTCAAGTTCGACTGCCCAGACAAAAGATACTTTTTCATCAATCAATCTCTTTTGTTGGCAACGTCCTTCTTAAGTATTTACAGATCTACTGGTGATATTTGTGGAGTTCCTGTGGTTCACGATGGCAACGGACTTGGTGGCACTGGGACACGTTGCTTCTTGCTGAAACAGAGCCAAACTGCTTCATGAATTATGCAGATGGGCTGTAATTAAATAAAATTTAATGCAGATTTTCTTAGGCTGACCCTTTTTACTGTTTGTAAGAAGGATGAGTCGAGAGATTCATGGATCTCATGTTTGCAGAGAACCCCCCTGAAATTGTCTAGCCTCATCTGCCTGCTTGGATCCTGCAGGCAACGGCACCCTGTAATAGTTATACCAAGCTTACAACTTCTCTTTCGAGCTTTGCTGCTTCCTAAAAAGATGCTAAATGTTGACTTGTGTTTGAGGGAGCTGAGGGTACATTACCCCATGTCACTTGTGACTTTATCCCAGTAACTAGTGTGGATCTGAGGAACCATGGCTTTGGCAGGGAGGCTGCAGGACTTGTCAGCCTTGCTCCTTTGGGTCAAGGATACGTGGGCGATGCAGTCTGGGTCTGAAAGTTAGATATGTGTTACAGCATTTTTATTCTAGCAAAGCCAGTAGGTAAGGTCTTGACTGCAGATCTGGCAGCGTTGCTGCTGCAAACCCTCAGAGAAAAATCAAACCCTAAAAATATGCCTGAAACTATTAATGTCTTCTGTAGGCTGGCGCTTTGGATCCTTTTTTTAATGTTGTTTGCTATGGCTTCACCTTGTAGGAGCTCCCACCAAGAGCAGAGCCTTCCCGAGGTTTAAAGCTGAGAATGGTACTCCAGGCTCTTAGCTCATAAGCCTTTGAGTGGGTAAAGCTAACTGAAGGAGTTGGGACCCCAGAGAGCACTAAATAGTTGCATTGCTTCCTTCCCTACATGAAATCCCCATCTTTCGAGTCTTGCTGCAATTTATCTTCCTGGTTCTTATGCCCAGTAGGAATTTAGTTTTGATTGCAGTGCTCTCTCTTTGCCAAGTAAGGCTGTAAGTATACGCCTTTCCCCTTGCTCTGGGAATGGGATTCTTCGCCTTCCTTAAGAGCCTTTCTGCAATTTTATTCTCCAGTATGTCTTAATTAGCACACTCCTCAGCCGAGTGGTTTCCTTCCTGATTTGTGCTTTTCGAGATTTATCCTGATGTAGAAATTGTGATAGAAGTACTCTCTGTGTATGTATCTTGAATTTCTAATGGTCTCAGTTTTAAACTTTTCATAGAATATTCTGTTACTCTCTTTTATTATTCTCTATAATTCTTCTATTATTCTCTAAAAAGTAGAGATGATGATCTTGGTATTAGAGGTAATTATTAGCTAGTCCTTGTCATATTTTACTGAAAACTCAACAGCTCACCATGAGTTACTTCAAGAGGTATTGCAATTATTCAAACTTTCAGCACTAAGCTGATGGCATTAAATTATCGTTTATGTTTATTTGGGGATATTTGAAAATGTTTTGGAGCTGCCTGGATCACATTCCATCATTATTTGGCTTTCTGAATTGCTTCTACATCAAACCATCCTGTTTTCTTGGAGGACAGAATTGCTGTTAATGCTTCCTGAAACACGAAGCTCTGTGAGAAGTAGCCTCCCCAGACCAGGTTGGGTAAATATTTTACATAGGATGTAAAACTCTGGTTGGACTGGGAATTCCTGCAATACTCTGTAATACCTCATTAATGCATCCTGATGACTGATACCTAGTATGATTCCCCAAGCATGTCAGTTAACAAGATTAAAACCATCCTAGGTAATCTTCATCAAGCTGCATTTTGTTCTTTTTGAGTAATGCATGGGAGCATAAGTTCTGTAATATTTAAGCTTTGGTAATCTAAGCACCACATTTATTGTTTTGTGGGCAAGTTGATGAGTGCCATTGGGCAGATTCATGAGGCTTTCCTAAAGCTGTAGTAGGACGTAAAGTTGTTACGTTTCTGACACACTCCAGCCTTAGTGTTTCCCTGTTCTATTGCCTTGACCTGGGCTGGGCTGGGCTGCCTGAGCATGCCACAGAGCAGACAAAACCGTGCCATTATACAGGCAATTTAATTCTGGTATCTGATAGTGAGGGGGTTTTCTATTTTTAATATTGATCTCTTATGTAAATACAGGTGAGTGTATGCATTTACTTAAAACATGCTGTAAAATTTATAATCACTATGCTTTCAGGTCCCATGCCATATAATTTACAGACTTCTGTGTGACTTTGTGAAAAGAAGCTGCGTACATAGTCATGCTCCCTGTGCTGAGCATTTACACTGAATAGCAGGACGTCGTATCTTTGTGGATACACCCAAAGATGTTGTTTTGACATAGGACAAATCTCTGTGTTTCAAAATAAAAAACCTTCCGTTGTGTTTTGGAACTGCTTATGAGATGTAGACTGGAAATACATTTTTTTAAGAAGGTGTTACACAGCTTGATACTGATGCAGGGATGCAGAGCACCTGTGCTAGATGCTGATTAGAAAAAATCGCGATGAATTCCTCCCTGTATGGGCTGGTCTGACTTTTCTTTTTGACTGAAAGGTAATTCAAGGAGCGCTGTGCAGCTCACTGAGTGTTGACTGAGGCTGGTTTTTTCCCTTTTCTTCTGATGCCTTTCAGAAAGCTAATCCATGCAAAAAGACACTGTCAGCTGAGTATAAATATTGCAAATCTTGCTGAGAAATCTGTTGCTGAGCTGTTAGGTGGGAAGGGTAGGCTCTGGCTCCTACCACTTGGGTGTCAAAAGTTTTGTGTGTGACTTACAGCAAAATGGTTTGCACATATGCTTAATGACTATGATTGCTTATTTTTACATGGTGGTGGGTCAAAATTTAAATCTTTGCTCTTTTTTAAAGGAAAACTTTTTTTTCCTTACTCCTGAGTGTAATAAGAGTAAAAACTTTGTGTAAGGTTGTGCTGAAAAACGACAGCTATGTATTATCTTGGTTGAAAAAGCAGCCCATTTTTGGACATGCCTCATTTTCTGCAGGGGCTATCATCTTCCTAACTGCTCAGATGACTGCCAGCCCACATTTGGGGTTGTACTCTGCCTGGTGTTTAGTGCAAAGTAGGGAACTCAGTGTCTTGTTCCCTACATCCAAGCTTTTAAGCTGCCAAAGCTAGATGCTTTCATGTGGTCGTGTTATTGCTTTGAAATCCGTTTGTCTGTTCAAGGGTGTAGCTGAGCAAAGCCTACACTGATTTGGCCTTCGGTTCATTCACAGTGCGTGCTGAAACTTATTTGCTTGCTGGGCAAGACCAAACAGAAAGGACACTCGAGAGGTAAAAATAAAGGCTCTGCCCAGCGAAAGATTTACACACAGGAGGAAGGGTATTAATGTTGTCCTGTTGACTGATTTCAATTCTTTTCATATTCTTCCAGCTGAAGGGCTTCCCCAGGTGTATTACTTCGGACCATGTGGAAAGTACAACGCCATGGTATTAGAGCTACTTGGTCCTAGCTTGGAAGATTTATTTGACCTCTGTGATAGGACGTTCACTTTGAAGACGGTATTAATGATAGCCATCCAGCTGGTGAGTAACAGCAGGCAGGGCTCTGCCTGGCAGCCTCCACAATGCCGACTCATTGTTTATGTCAGCCCTGGGTTAGCTGAAGGATGGGGTTGGTACTGTGGGAGGTTCAGGGGCGTCTATTGGTTGGAGAGAGAATCTCCTTCCATTGTGGAATCACAGAATGGTTTGGGTTGGAGGGGACCTTCAAAGATCTAGTCCAACCCCCTGCCACGGGCAGGGACCCTAGAGTAGGTCACACACCTCAAAAGCCCTGACAATTACAATCTAGAGACAGCACCACTGTACGCTGCAGAAAGCCAACAGTTCTTTGGACAGAGGGTTCATTGATTTAATAACTATCTGATGTATAAATGAAAAGTTCACCATAACATCTGATAAAAGCAGCATAAGACTTTATAGTGGACTAAGATTAGAATTACAGGTTACCCTGGTTACAGCTACTGATGAATTTCAAAAGAAGCTAGAATTAGCTTGAATCATTCGTTGCATGTGTTAGCTAGCACAAGAAAGATAAAAGCTTGACAATGAATTATCACTTGGGAATGCAATTTTGATCTGAACTGACAGCATCTTTGTGGCCTCCTCTGGACTCACTC